CTTGTAGAACATATTATCCAAAGTACACCGGATTAAAACCATGTTTATCAGCACAGTTGAAATTATGTTTTTATAAAATTTTTAAAAAAATTGTTAAAAATTATTTTTTATATTTTTTTGATATACTGATATTATTTTTAAAAAAATTTGTTAAAAATTATTTTTTATATTTTTATATTTTTTTGATATACTGATATTAAAAAATAATTTTTAAAACAATAAAAAAAAATTTTTAAAATTTTTTAATTAAAAAATACTTTAAACTGTAATACTTATTATAATTTTAAATAAATCCTTGGAGATTAAAAAAATATTGTTGAGAAGATATCTCAGCTATTAACTCAGGTAGCCATTAACTCAGGTAGTTCGGTGATTTATTTCCTATCTTATTTTTGAAGATTTGATTCAATAATAAATTGAAGATTTTTTTTTTTAACAAATACATTAACCTCAATAAACCTAAAACTCGGCCAAAATACGAGTCAAGTATCTCACCTATGAGGTTTTTTAAGTAAAAAAAAAACAGCCTAACACTCTTTTTAGTTAAAACCCAAAAACGTTGTCTGAGGGTTGAAAAATTGGGAAAGTGTGTTTATTTTTAAAGTGTTTTATACTTAAAAAATGTTAAAATAATGTTTTTTTATTTTAAAAGTTTATTTTTAATATCATCAAATTACAATAATATAGAAATACCAAAAACAAAATTTGAAACAAAATTTTTTTCATGAATCTATAATTTAATAGCAATACCAAACACAACCTTAATATTGTCATTGTAAAGGCCATTTAAAGGAAGTTACGAAGGAAATATGAGTTAAGATTGATACTAGTATTTCCTCTTCTTCAAGTTAATTCAAGATTATTTTTAAGGAGTTTATGGGAGGTATATTCTTCTTTTCATTATTATTATTATTATTATTATTATTATTATTATTATTATCTCATGAGTTCAAATCTCGAGATCATCATGTAAAAAAATTTATTAAATTCTTCTATAACGATGTGAGAGGAACACATTTAAGGCCGCCCAAGAACAAAAATTAATTCTGGGTGGTTGATGTACAAGTTAATTCTAAAATATACATGAACTAACGTGGAACAAAAATAATTGCATATTTAAAATACTCTTAAGAATACAGGAATTGGAGCTGAAATCTGAGAATTCAGACGTTGGAACTGAAACTCAGCAGAGATCCAATAATGATATTAAATATAATTACGAGTTATTGGCATACAGTGCACATGGGACTGTTAAGAGACTTGTAGCCCACTACGTTTTGTCAAAGCAACACACCATCGTGCATCACCCATGTAATAATAAATAGCATTTTTATTTTTATTATTTTAATTAATTTTATAAATACTTTAATTTTAGTATTCTGAATCATTTCAATTAATTTTATAAATTTTAAAATTAATAATAACATAAATATATAATTATTAAACATTAAATCTAAAATTTAACCAATTAAATTAGCTCTCATGCTAATAAACGACAGTTTTGCCCGCAGAGTTACGTGCTTATACCCGGGGCAGCCCAAGCAAGATTGCTCGGAGAAGAATTAAACGAAGTTAGCTCAGATTTCTTCTGATTGAGTTCTGTCCTGAATTTAATCCAAATATTTAAATTACATGTATAGTAATGTGTTCTTGCTACTGTATGTTCTTTGAAATATATTTAATAGTATTCTCACACTTGTTGGTGGATGGGTCTTGTTCAAATGAATTACCCTTTTTTTCTTGGTGTTTTTTCTTAAAAAAATATTAAATTATAATTTTTTAGTGTTTTTTAATAAGTTTAATATTCTCATGTTAAAAATTATAAAAAAAATATTTTAATATATTTTTTAAAAACCGCTCCACTCCAATACCGAACACACAATAAAACCTCCGCTCCACTCCAATACCGAACACACAATAAAACCTTGCATTTCATTTTAAAATATTATATTAAGTGTTTTAATGAGTAAAATGAAGTGAATTCTAGAAACAATAGTTAAAAAAATATAAAACATGACAAATTATATTGAACTTAGATTAAAAACAAAAGAAGAAGAATCTTGAACAATCAATACGAATGTTTCTATAATTTTAAGCAGTCAATTTTTCATATATAGTATTCTTTTGTAAAAGGAATACTATATAGAGTAAGAAAGAATTGATAGCTTGAGATTTCTCCAGTATTGTATCGTGATCTATCACGAAAAACACTATAATTTAATTTATATAATATAAGATATAATTAACAGTATATTTTGGGAGCTGAGAGGGTTCACTTGACCCCTCAACTATAAACATGGCCTGGCCAGTGTCTGTCATCAATTTTCCTGGTCTGCTGATTGCGTGGTCTGTTTTAAGAGGTATTTGGAGTGTCATAATAGTTATTTTTTAAAGTAATTTTTTAAGAAATGAATTAAAATAATTTTTTTATTTTTTAAAAATTATTTCTAACATCAACATATTAAAATTACCTGAAAATATAAAAAAATTATTAATTTAAAATAAATAATAAAAATTTTAAAATATTTTTAAAACCTAAAAACAAACATAATTATATTACTATTAGCTACTATTGAAAAACAAATAATCTTGTATGGTGATTGCATGGCATGCGGTAAATTGTTGTTTTTTAAATTATTTTTTGTTTAAAATTATATTAAAATAATATTTTTAAATTTTAAATGTTTTTTATACTGATACATCACAAATAATTTTAATCTCAACAAAAATAAATCCAAGCCCAGATAAAGCATATTAGGCTATAGTCCAGCATCAAAACTCAAAAACACTAGCTGGATTTTGGGACCAGTGCCTCTCTACTCTAGCCCACAGCTCTTAACAGCCAGAGCTTTCGCAGATTACCGGCAGCCACCGCAAGCCAGCCAGCAGGCCCAGTATACTAATTAATTATTAATTAAAAGAAACTATAACATTTCATGATTTCACTGTGGCTGGCAATTGACATAAAGCAAATGTGGATTATAATAGTATTCTTTTTTTTCTTTGATTTGATATTTTATACGGGGGTTGGACTTAATCATTTTTTTTAATTGGTTTCATGTTCGGTTTTGAAATGTTCGGGGAAAAGACTTTTTAATTTGTTTAGAAATTAGATTTTATAATTTTTGTAATTTATTTTATATAAAATTATCTTTATTTCATTACTTAAATTGTAATTTTAAAAGGTTGATATAGATTAACTTAGATTATTTTTTAAAAAAATATTTTTTTAATTTTACTTTTCAACATTTAATTAATTAAGAGTTATGTTTATTTTTTTCAATATGTTTTATATTGAATTATTTCTTTTTTATTATTCAAATCATGAGTTTAATAAATTTATTTATATCAACTTGAGTTTTTTTATTATTTTATTAAATAATTTTTATTATTTTTATTATACTTGATTGTAAATTGAATTTCTTAATTTATTTTTATGGGATTATTAAAATTTCAAAATTCAGATCATGGATTTAAAATAACAATTCAAGTTCATCTAGATAAACTCAATATATTACTATTTAAATACTTTTTTAAAATATATTATCCGACTATGTTCAAATAGCATACATTTAATTTTGAAATTATTTTTATTTCTCCTAGTAGATAATACACCAGTAACGCCTTGAATTTTTTTACGTTTTGAAAAAAATACAAATTATCCCAGACACAGAGCAAAA